GCGTTAATCAGGACGACTACCGAATGGTTGTATTGTGATTATTCTGCCGAGGTTGTCAGGTAGAAACTTTACAAGTGCTCCAACGTTCCGACGCGATCGTCTTTTTCAAAGACCTAAGGTGGCCCAAGGTTTAAGAGATGCCCTACAAATCGCCAAACCCTCCTCTACCAAATGGATTCGAGGCTTCAAAAAAAAAAACGTTCCGCACAACTTTTGACAGTCACTCTATTTCATAGCAACACCAGTGAATACCTCTGTAAGGTTGGGGGTTGCGTTGCCCGGAAGGGAGCGAGCCTAGGCGAACAGCGAATAGGTTCAGCACTACACATCAAAGGAGCTCTGAGGTCTCAAAATTTTCGTTCAGGTGATGTGGCCTTCTGCGACAAAGTAGGTCTGTCCAGGATTTGCTCTAAATAAGAACAGTAAGAATAGGAAGTGCAGCAGACTTTAGCAGTGTAACACCAATTGATATGGTCCACAAATACCTTTAATTCGAGTTTTCATCGATGTTGAGAGGATACAGTGCCATGTACCTCGTATCTCGTCATTTTTTTGAATTATGGTGCTTTTTATCGAAGACGAATTTCGTTCGAGACTATCCAAACAATTCGAAAAGCTGAAGAGATTTATCGTTTGCAAGAATTCTACAATGCTGAATGAGGTTTCGAACTGAGTAACCCTTTCAAGTTGATTTTTCACGTTCACGTTATTTTCAATGCGCAGTCCGCTGGCGCCTTTTAGTGTGCGGCCAGTCGACGCCATGAACGTAACAAACGACGCTAGTGGGTTAAAACAGCAATTTCTGACAAATCACTTTCATTCCTTTTTTGGCATTCGGAAGGCCATGGGTAGGAAATGCTGATCAGATATCAAGTACGACATGCGAACATTCGCACACTAATGAGGATAAACCTACCTATTACCGTCGTCTGGCAAAGTCACAACATCACATGCTACATGACATCAGCAGACTAACGGCGCCCAAACCAATCAAAAATTCCAGGTATTATAGTAAATGTAGTATCCTCCAAACTGATTCAAAGATCAATCCGTTTGTCTGAGCCTTCGTTCAAATTTTCGCAGGGTTTCGGAACCTTCCCTACCTAGTAGTGGTTGGATTTAAAGGGGCAATGTCACCACTACTTTAGTGACACTCTTTTTATTTTCCATGGGTGCTACTGGTGGGAGCTAGGAGGACATGCATGTTGCAGTGATATAGCTGGATGTGTATTTCATGGCAGCTTCCTCCTTGGACTACAAATCCCATCAAACATCTTGCGTCACTCTACTGACATCACGAAACAATTGTAGTCCATGTGAAACCAACAGTGGCTGGTTCAAACAGAATCGAAACATTGCATCGTGCTGGTTTTCGTTAGACTAACACTGTGACAGTGACATTATGATTATTGGCTGTTCTGTTTAGAAAAGATTTGTTCCACTTCGTTCAAATTTCGACAAAAAAAAAGTTCATGATTCAGGCGATATTCCTCTTATTACATGAAGAATTGGATGACCTT